AGGCCCACTGGTGAGAGCCAATATCGAACAAAAACTACTGGCCCTTAAATAGCGAGACTGCGAGCAGATGGGGCATTCGGCTGCTGGGGACACGAGATTCTGCTGCTGGAGACGCGGGACTCTGTTTGCCGAGACCGCCGACAGAACACACGCTGCTGACGGACACAGGACAGGCTGCCGGACACATAGACGACAAAGATGATGTACAAGAAGAACTAGTGACAGTAAACTATTATTTGCTTTCCTATTCTGCCTACCTTTCCTAACACGTAACTGGGGGATGTAACCAGTGTCGACGCAGGCACACTCAATTTTTTAACAGTTTGCAAAAGCAATACAGGGGTACGAGGAAGTAATTGGGTGAACAACATGCTGCGTCAATCCAAATTCTAGACGGTTTACATTGCCGGGGAGACTGGAATGGCCATTTCTGGCTTAGCAGCCGTTATCAGCCAGTCATGACAGGTGTCATGACCTTGGGAAAGTGGACCCGAAATAGGATTGGGTGCAGGAGAGACTGAAATGGCCATTTTCGGCTTAGTAGTCATCAAAGCTGTAAGACAACGACCCCGTGGCCCAATGGCTAGATTGTTAGATGTTTAATCAACCACCTGGGGTAGGATATGGATTGCTGATGACGGCTGATAGGCCAGACGTGATCATTCCAGTCTCCCGGGTCTTTGTAAGAAATGCTCCCCCTATGTCTGTAATAGCAACCCATATACGAGCCAGCGTGAGACGCGAGACGACGCGACACTACAGATGGCCAATGCACGTGAGGACGAAACCAACACTGGCGCCACGACGACAGACAGAGCCAACGGAGACAATAGCAACACACACCGCTGCTCAGAATACGCACAGGATAAACTAGTGGCACATAAGGAGAACCACGAGGAGGCGGAGTATTCAGGCTCTTAAGATGGGCAGACGAAACCATCACCCAAAACGTCAGACACACACAATAAACCTCTTGCGTATAGTATTTAGTAGAACCCTACCTATCAATACCTTTGAGATGTGTTGGAGTGAATGCAACACACTTTACAGTGTCCAATCAAGGTATCTACTTGTACATGCATGTAATTGTATCTTATTGTTAATATTACCAATCTGGCGTAGTATTATGCAGTAGAATCCGACCTATCGACAATGGTGAGATGTGTTATAGTGAATGCAACACACATTACGATGCTCATTCAGGAGAGTATAGTTGTGCATAAATGCAAACACAACAAACTCACCAAGTTTGGAGTAAAGGGACTAGATTAACTGCCTCATGTAACCATACAATCTTCAGTCTGAATTGCAAAATGCGCATTTTGTGAATTTTCATCTGTATATGCGTGTAAACACTGTAAGCGAGCGAATAACAAGCTACCATATATTTTGCAAAGTCATTTGAACTCATTTGGTAGCAAATTACGCCTTCTTTAAATTTGATACTTAGAAAAAGGGTATCTTTTGGTTTTAAAAAAGTTTATAAATCGCGGAATAATGGTAAAACGTACTGACTGCAACACTCGAATTCAAGGTTTAAAAACTGCGCCCTATGTACATCCTGTTTAAACAAAAGTACGTTTTCGCCTACAGTTTGAGGAAGAAGTCCCATAGTTGTCATAAAATATTGCAAAAGATGTGCAACATGTTTAATACAGTATAGGCAGCATTAATGAATTGACGGATACGATGTATTATGAATGAACACCTCACTATCGTAGAAAAGCTCATAATTAAAATCTAAAGATACCCTTTCTTTAAATATAAAATTTAAAGAAGGCGTAATTTGCTACGAAACGAATTTAAGAAATGATTTTTTTCGTGCATGTTTTCCATAAAATACATCTAAATTTATAAAGTCAGTCAAAATGAATGATAAAAACGCATACTATGTAACTAGTTACTTTTTACAGTACGTAAGTTTTGTTAGCGGTCAGAAAGAAGCTCGGTGAAAAGCCTACATCCTATCATGACGGAAATAACTTCAGAATAGTCTACACGATAATTAATACCACAACCTGAGTCAATGTCGATTAGCGAAAGAATATCAATATTTCGCATATGTCGGTATGTTGTACGAATTCTGGCGCGTACTGTAACAAAGGAGAGCTCTCCTGTTACGAGAAACAGTGACATAGGGATCTCGCCTTTTCCAAGATAACTTTCTCCTACATCAATGGTTAAAAAGGAAAATTACTCTTTTTTCCTGTGCTGGACTCAGCGCAGATTAAAAAAGTGTGCAAATTTCCAGATGATCAGGGAGTATTTTACGCCCCCGAAAGTATCACTACAGAAAGGAAATTATGGCAAGCGGCTTCTTGTCGTCCCAAAGGTGCCCCACCAATTGTTTTAACGGATGCCAATTCCGAGATTTCACCACTCAATAACGCCTTGTATGAGTCCCCAAAGGAAGAACACGGCAAGGAGTGTGCAACAGCAGAAGTCTTTGATGCAGAGAAAACTTCGCACACCATTTGACGTTATTCGTCCGCGGTCATCTGCTGGTGTTTTTGATGAATCAGCCCATCCGACGTCAATGGAAAGGCAATTTAACCGACGCCACGGTGCAAAACAACGATTGTTTCACCCAGGCCAGACGGTGCTTGCAAAGGACTACAGGAATAATCAGGAAAAGTGGACGATTGGACGTGTTCACCGAAATTGTGGTGACGTGGTTTACGAGATTCGGGTCAGCTCCGACATTTGGGTGCGGCACGCCAACCAGCTGAAAAACATTGAATTTGCTGACGTGTCAAAACCAAGCCAAACCTTATCACTGGAACTATTACTGGACACATTCGACCTGCCAAAACCAAGG